ACCCCCTCCCCAGGGGGAAACGTGAGACCCCAGGGTCAAGAAATTCACAATTTCGGTAAAGCACCTTAAGACCCTTCCATCTATGAAGAGTATTTGATTCTACCATATCTGGGTCTTGAGAAGAAGATTTTTGAAATTTCAGTCAATTCAACCCTTTTTGGCCCCACCCATCAGCCCCTGGGGGTCAGTCAGGGCTCATAGGTGCATACTATCAAACTGCTACCTAATACTGATAATGCTAACCCAAATTGAATTACTTCCAATGGAAATTAAACAAATGTTGGTCCAAAATGTGATTTCCCTATATAAACTATAGTAAAGTTTACCCCCTCCCCAGGGGGAAACGTGAGACCCCAGGGTCAAGAAATTCACAATTTCGGTAAAGCACCTTAAGACCCTTCCATCTATGAAGAGTATTTGATTCTACCATATCTGGGTCTTGAGAAGAAGATTTTTGAAATTTCAGTCAATTCAACCCTTTTTGGCCCCACCCATCAGCCCCTGGGGGTCAGTCAGGGCTCATAGGTGCATACTATCAAACTGCTACCTAATACTGATAATGCTAACCCAAATTGAATTACTTCCAATGGAAATTAAACAAATGTTGGTCCAAAATGTGATTTCCCTATATAAACTATAGTAAAGTTTACCCCCTCCCCAGGGGGAAACGTGAGACCCCAGGGTCAAGAAATTCACAATTTCGGTAAAGCACCTTAAGACCCTTCCATCTATGAAGAGTATTTGATTCTACCATATCTGGGTCTTGAGAAGAAGATTTTTGAAATTTCAGTCAATTCAACCCTTTTTGGCCCCACCCATCAGCCCCTGGGGGTCAGTCAGGGCTCATAGGTGCATACTATCAAACTGCTACCTAATACTGATAATGCTAACCCAAATTGAATTACTTCCAATGGAAATTAAACAAATGTTGGTCCAAAATGTGATTTCCCTATATAAACTATAGTAAAGTTTACCCCCTCCCCAGGGGGAAACGTGAGACCCCAGGGTCAAGAAATTCACAATTTCGGTAAAGCACCTTAAGACCCTTCCATCTATGAAGAGTATTTGATTCTACCATATCTGGGTCTTGAGAAGAAGATTTTTGAAATTTCAGTCAATTCAACCCTTTTTGGCCCCACCCATCAGCCCCTGGGGGTCAGTCAGGGCTCATAGGTGCATACTATCAAACTGCTACCTAATACTGATAATGCTAACCCAAATTGAATTACTTCCAATGGAAATTAAACAAATGTTGGTCCAAAATGTGATTTCCCTATATAAACTATAGTAAAGTTTACCCCCTCCCCAGGGGGAAACGTGAGACCCCAGGGTCAAGAAATTCACAATTTCGGTAAAGCACCTTAAGACCCTTCAATCTATGAAGAGTATTTGATTCTACCATATCTGGGTCTTGAGAAGAAGATTTTTGAAATTGCAGTCAATTCAACCCTTTTTGGCCACACCCATCAGCCCCTTGGGGTCAGTCAGGGGTCATAGGTGCATACTATCAAACTGCTACCAAATACTGATAATGCTTACCCAAATTGAATTACTTCCAATGGAAATTAAACAAATGTTGGTCCAAAATGTGATTTCCTTATATAAACTATAGTAAAGTTTACCCCCTCCCCAGGGGGAAACGTGAGACCCCAGGGTCAAGAAATTCACAATTTCAGTAAAGCACCTTAAGACCCTTCCATCTATGAAGAGTATTTGATTCTACCATATCTGGGTCTTGAGAAGAAGATTTTTGAAATTTCAGTCAAACCCTTTTTGGCCCCGCCCCTCAGGCCCCTGGGGGCGTAGGACTAAACCGGCAACTCTTTTTGTTGACCTTTGTCCATGGAAGGTCCCTGCAAAATTTCATTGAAATTGGTTCAGGGGTTTTGGAGAAGAAGTCGAAAATGTAAATTGTTTACGGACGCACGACGGACGACGGACAAAAGGCGATCGCAATAGGTCACTTGAGACTTTGTCTCAGGTGACCTAAAAATTCCTGTATTAGACTTTTTTTAGTATTCAATGAATCAAAAGAAAATGTGTTTCTTTTTCTGAAACAGCCACAAAAATGGGGGGTCGGTGTGCTTCTTTTTTTGTCCCATTATTATTTGTGTTATTTTTCACCTTTTTTCAAAAGTGCTACAGTTACCCTAATATGTAAAAAAAATACCAATATATAACTTATCACTTTTTTGCATATTATTTTAATCATATTGAACTTAATAAAGTTGTACAGCAAAATTGATCCTGCTACAATAAACAAGAGGCCCAAGGGGGCCTGTATCGCTCACCTGAATATTTAAGCAGTCATAGCAAAATATTCTCATTAAATATTATATTGCACTAAAAATATTTCCCTCGCAAATTTTGTTGGCTCCATCTGTTAAAACTACCAGTAAAATATTATTATAAGATTCTATGCTTTTTGATTCTTCTTCAGAAGTTGCTCAACATATTTTTCCCTGTGACCTTGTAAGTAGGTCAATGTCATTTTCCTTCTCAAATTGGTTAGCTCTATTCCAAAAAGCTACCAGCCAAATCTTATGAATCCATTCCTTTTAGTTCTTAAATACAAATCCTTTAAGATGATGTTGACCTCTGTGACCTCTAAAGTAGGTTGAGGTCATTTTCATTCCCAAATATTATAATTGTATGCCATTTTATTCTTCAGAAGAAGTAGGTCAAGGTCATTTTCATTCTCAAACTTTGTCGGGCTCTTTCCCAGGAAGCCATCAATCAAATATAAAGATTATATACCTTTCAGTTCTTCAGAAGAAGTCGTTCGACGCATTTGACATATTTGACCCCTGTGACCTTGAAAGTAGGTCAAACTAAATTTCATTCTCAAACTTTGTTGGGCTCTATCCAAGGAAGCCACCTGCCAAATATAAAGATTCTATATCTTTCAGTTCTTCAGAAGAAGTCGTTTGAAGTGTTTGACACATTTGACCCCTGTGACCTTGAAAGTAGGTCAAACTAAATTTCATTCGCAGAATTTGTTAAGCTCCATCCCAGGAAGCCATCATCCAAATATGAAGATTCTATACCTTTTAGTTCTCCAGAAGAAGTCGTTTGAAGTTTTTGACATATTTGACCCCTGTGACCTTGAAAGTAGGTCAAGGTCATTTTCGTTCTCAAACTTTGTAGGACTCCTGCCAACAAAGCTTTCAGCCAATTATCATGACTCTAGGCCTGTCCGTTCTTCAGAAGAAGTTGTTTAAAGGAAAAGTTGACGGACGAGTACGGATGAACGCCGCACTTAGGGCAGGTGAGCTAAAAATGGTGACACAATGACAATTTAAGTGATCAATCTAGTGTAAAAAGGGTGAAATTTTGGCCCTTTGTGAAGCGCAAGAAATTCACATAAATACACTTTTTCAAAATGGCCACTGAATTAGTAATTTTTTTCAAATTCTTGTAAAAAATGTTCTACACACAACAGACATCAAGTTTTTTGACATGTTTTTCAGATGTGTGTTTGCTATTTAACCTATCATAATTTGTTAAATATTACAAAACCCCGTTACACCAGATCAAAACGAGACTTGAACGTGACTGAAGTACTGATCATGTGTACCAAGTTTTATAAAAGATTGAATGAAGGTTAACAGCAGTGACTGAGAAACTTCCAACCAGAACGATGGACAGTCCAATGGACAGTCATCCTCAACCTAGTATCTCCCTCAGCCCCCCCC